GCAGAGCGTCCAGCAGAATATGCAGATGTGATTTCAGTTAAAGAATGAGATGTTTTTAAAGCCAAACGAAAAACCCCAAAATTTCATAGTGTAAGTGACGTAAATCGTCAAAGAGCATCATCTCCCGCATATCCATACAAAAAATGGCGTTTGGGATATGCACGATTAGAACAAAAAATAGTAAGTATTTACAAATTGCAATGATATACTTGTTTATCAAGAGTTATAACTGAGCTTGTTTTTTGTGTTAATGTGTAGTTAAAAGAGGAGAGTAGTTTTGAAACATCTCTTCTGGAGCATGTTTTGTGGAAGGCTACCCGTGTGGGTAAGGATGGAGTTCTTAAAGAAGATGTACAACAAATTTTTGAAAAATGCGTAAGTATAACATTAATTCTAATTAAATTAACATTTTATTAACATATAGTATTCATGTTTTTCCAATATTCATATGAATTTCAGGAGAGTCTGTCTCAGTCTACATCTCCACCAGATGATTGCAGGAGCATACTTAGTCGAGCATTAGATGTTCTGAGTATTCTGGTCGGGTGAGGGGTAAAGGACATGGGGTTACTCCAAGCTCCTTGAAAAAGAACAACCCAAAGACAAAATCTGCTAGCAATAAAGAACTGCAGGCAAGGTTGGATGCATTAGAAGCTGAAGTTCTTGAATTGAGGAAGGAAAAAGCAAGACAATACCAATCAGAAAGGGAAGCTTCGGGTGTTAAAGAAACTAGTGACATAGCTAGTGTCAATTGTGCAGCTCAACCGAGTATTCCCGAGGTACTTACATATATTATTATGAAATTAAATTAGTGTAATTTATTTAACTGACATATATACACATTAACGATGTCATATTTATTATTGATTTTAGGGTATTTCACCTTGTCAACTCTTTTTAGAGACACCAACTTATCGCATGGTTGGTAAGGGAAAAGTCCATAACACTCTGGGAGAAGTACTTCATCATAAATCGCTCCCTTCTGGATATTTGAAAGTGTCGATTGATATTGCTTTAGAGGAGGGTGCGTTATTACCAATCCCGAATGAAGTTTCGGATGCAACATTGGTGGGAGAGGCAATAGGAGCGTTTGTTGCATGGCCGTTAAGACTCGTTCGCATAGATGATGAGGTATAATTAAAACCGTTATGAACTTTTTATTACTCAAATTTTTTACGTTCGTTTTACTTACATTTTTTTTGCATGGTAATGTTAGACTCCTACAAAACCCAAACCAAAAGATAAAGGGATTACGCGGCCAAAGGAGTCAGTGACAGCAAAAAAACAGGTACAACACAATTATATGATATTTATTCTTAGATAATGTTAATTTGTCATCCTATACTTGACCACTCTAATTTTATGATATTTAGATTATTCCTGCTAAAGAGATTGAAGCTGTAAGTATGGGTAAGGAGCCTGTAATTAGCAACATTCCCACAGAAACAAAGAGTGTTGCTAAGAGGACCGGGGCTAGAAAGAAAACTACTTCATAATATAGGTCGTGCCTTCAGACATATATATGCTTCACAACTATTTCGCAAGGTGGTACTTCTCTTATACCCCTGGATGAAGGGATTTATGGTTTTGAAGGCATGACAGCAATTGGTAAGGAGGATTTGGAAGAAGTTTTTGGACACTTGACATTAGGCATCGCTGTTATCAATACATACATCAGGTATACTCCAATCAACTTTGTTTAATTAATTGCAGAATTTATTTACTCATTTCAATGAATAATTAATGTTAATGATGTTTTTATTTAAGGTTTCTGTATGACAAGTTAATTCGCCCGCGTGGATTGGAGTCCAGATTCGCTTTCATAAATCCCAACATTGTCCATGCAGGGTCAATCATCTCAAAACCAGATGAAGTAATAGCATTTGTGCTCAGTTTATTTATGGCCAGCAAAGATACAGAAAAATTGTTCTTTTTACCATATAATACTGGCCCCAAGTAATATTTTCATTCTAAATTTCCTCTATTATAATTTTTTGTTTTTTAACGTTGTGCAGAAAATTTCCATCTAACCTTTGTTTAATATTCCAGTGGACACTGGTTATTGGTTGCAATTAATCCTGTGAGAGAAATTGTATATTATCTGGATTCATTGGGCAATGATTGGACAACATACCCAGATATGAAGAAGACGATTGACACGTAAGTGAGATTGTTCCAAAATATTATTGTGTATATTTAATTATTTATGTGCGATAGTTCTAAATATTCGTTATTATTTTATTATAGCATTCTACAAAGTTTTCGAGCACAAAGAGATATTCAAGTACCAAGGAGTAGAGTCAACAATATTTCTTGGATCAAAGTGGAGGTATAGATTTTCACAATTTTGATTATATAGCGATGATACTTGATAAAACAAGTTAAGATGTATATCTTGATGTATATCTGTATTTTCTTTCCATGTGTAGTGTCCTCGTCAGCGCAATGGTGTAGATTGCCGTTATTTTATGTTGAGGTTTATGAAAGAAACTATTCTTTTGGACCGATTAGAGATTCCATCCACGGTATGAATTTCTAACTTAGGAATTATTTTAATATTTCTCATAAAATGACTTAGTATTTTAATTAAATCATACCATGTTATATTATTATGTAGTACTTTGATGAATTCAAGTGTGCTTCATACTCAAAAGATCAATTGGATGAACTTATGGAGGATTGGTGCCAATTTGTTATGGAGTTGAGAGTTTTATTATAAGGTATAACTTTGAGTTTTGAGAATATAATATATGTCGTTATAGTTGTGTTACAATATTATTGTTTTTGTTGTTGTTATTTGGTAACTTGTATGAATTTTGATTTTTTAATTTTGTTTTAGGTTATATAGGTGCAACTCGATGTAGAAGATAGAGTTATTTTGTAATTCATTGTTGTATATATTAATATTGTTGTTGTGTATATTATGCAAAAAGGATTGAAGAGATGAATATTGATATTGTTATAATATTGTTTCATTGTGGTATATTGATGTTGTTGTTGTTTAAAATGTTATAATGAAGCTATAAATTCTGGCGCAAAAATGGTGAGATTAAATTTGATAGGCAGCGTTTTGTTTTAAATGAAAAAAAAATTATATTTAAAAAAATAATAAGGAAAAGCGCTGCTAAAGGGGGGAATAGACAGCGCTTTTAATGAGAAGCGTTGTCTAAAGTGTTAGAAAAAAAATTATATTAAAAAAATAATAAGGAAAAGCGCTGCTAAAGGGAGGGGGGGGGGGAATAGACAGTGCTTTTAATGAAAGCGCTGTCTAAAGTGATTGAAAAAAAAAATATATTAAAAAATAATAAGGAAAAGCGCTGCTAAAGGGGGGGAATAGACAGCGCTTTTACCAAGCGCTGTCTAAAGTTCCACATTAAAAGCGCTGTCTAAAGTGTAAGCGTGCTAAAGGGGCTGCTAAAGGGGATACCTATAGCAGCACTTTTGAAATTATATAAGCGTTGTCTATACCTTTAGCAGCGGAGGTTTTAGCAGCGCTTTTAAGCGTTGTTAAAGGCCTAAAAAAGTGTTGTCTAATCCCTTGTTTGGCATAGTGTTGGTTTCTCTCAACAACCAAAAACAAATCTCTATGCTAACAATACTAGTGCTATTCAAATTACTGTCAATCATGTTTTTCACAAATGGACTAAACATATCAATATGGATTGTCATTCTATCCAGAAAGCTTTTGAGAATCACAATATATTTGGTCGGCATGTCACCTCATAACTTCAACTTGCTCATATATTCATCAAAGCATTTACTCATCCTCGACATCAATTTCTCATTAACAAATTGATGATGCTTGACCATCCACATCAATTTGAGGAGCATATCAATAAGGAAATATGATATTATTAATTTCCTATTATATTTTGTATAACTTAATAAATTACTAATTATATATAATTAAATTTCAAATCAATATATTTGTAATTAATAGTAATAATTATGTAATTATTTATATTTATTAAGGATGTACTATTTATATAGTAATAGATAATGAAAGAGGAGTCAAGCCATAATTTATTTTGACAATGTACACCAAGCATTTCTAAAATTTTAAAATCCGAAAGAATAACTAATAATATCTGAAAGCAACCAACCCAAAGATTTGAACAAATGTGTACTAACATCTTATTTAATAGTTGGAAAACCAAAAATAGTATAGTCACCATTTAGTGATTGATTTAGAGACCATTACTTTTCGGTTGAAAAAGTGCTAGTTGCTAAGTTTTTGCGACGAATTTAGTGACCGAAATTTAGCATCCAATTTTGTGACTGAATTTAGTAACCGATTTTAGTAACCGAATTTAGTAACCTTAGTAATGTCCATTTCCACAAGGATCCTAGCATAAAAAACCCCGAGCCTATTAGCTGTGATTCATCTGTCACTATTGGGTTACATAAAGCACTCCATATCTTGTTAAGGCTTGTATCTCCGCACATATAGATTGTAAGGTGAATCAATTTGAACCAAATAAGAAGAGTTCTGAGGAGGTCATTCTTCGGGTTGAACTCCAGACGCCACTCACGAATCAACAATGGCATATTCTTGATTGAATAGGGTCCCTTTATTAACACTTCATCCCTTTCCCTGAAAGATTTGAATTGTGAAGGATAAAGTATCCTTTCTCATGATAGTACATGTTAGGCAATTTAACAAAATTCCAATTCTTAGTCATGAAATTTTTCACAGCATCCATACTTAATTCACCTCCCAAAGAATAGAGAACTAGTGATGGTTGCCAGAATTTGAGTTCATCAATAATGTCTTCTTCCTTTATCAGCTCTTCAATCTCTCCATTAAAAATTTTAGGTGCTATATATTTCATGCTTTTTCCTTTAGCAGGGTTCCTATTATCGTTCAACATATTCCCCCATAGTTTCCTTCCTTCATCGATCGATTTTAGGGTTTCTTCTGGTTTGGATTCTGCTTCTGATTTCTTTTCAACTTCTTTCTCTTCCACTTAACTGGAACTAGTTTGGTGATTTATAGAGCTATGGTGAACAATCTTATTAACTGGACTATTGGCAGCGATGATCAGAGTGGTTTGATTTGCAATTCTGGCGGCGGTGGCTCCGTCTTTTTTGGACGCCCTCGCCCTATCCTGTAATGCATATTCCCTTATTTTTGTAATTGATATTGCTTACTATATTATTTTTATTATTATTATTGTTATTATTATTATTGTTATTTTTGTTATTATTATTTTAACTAATTTAATAAATAATATATTTAAGTTTGTGGAATATATATATATATATATATATATATATATATATATATATATATATATATATATATATATATATATATATATATATATATATATATATATATATATATATATATATATATATATATATATATATATATATATATATATATATATATATATATATAATATTAGATAAATATTATATTAATATTTATTTTTAGATTATTACTTATTATTTATATTATTAATATTATTATTATTATTATTATTTTTGTTGTTATTATTATTATTATATTTATTATTATTTTTTATTCTTAATGTAGGGTCAAATTAGTAAAATTATAATTAGGGTTTGTGCTTAGAGTTTATATAAGGCTAACATGTAATTAGGGTTTCTATCATGACAACTTTGAATATATATATATATATATATATATATATATATATATATATATATATATATATATATATATATATATATATATATATATATATATATATATATATATATATATATATATATATATATATATATATATATATATATATATATATATATATATATATGACCCGCGCAACCTGCGATTTACGATCATTAAATATTTTCTATTTTAAATTTAAGTTTTTGTGCAGTAAAAGTTTAAAATTTTAATTCTAAAAAACTTCAATATATTATCATTTAAAATAAATAATAATAATAATTTAAGTACACATAATGATTTATTTATTTTAAACTTTGTTGATTGTAAAAATATTTCTCTTAAAAATATGGAAAAAAATAAAATAGTAAAATTTCTAAATAAATCTAGAGATAATCATGTTATTTTATGTTGAGTGGGAGAATGATCATCTCCTATAGTTGAAAAATTAAAATTTTACTAAGATTATTTGATATAGTCTAGACATATAACTGTTCGTGTATAAGATAACTTTTACTTTGAATTCTCTATGTGTATATATTGTGTTATCTATTACGATAACTTAATTGATCATTTTGTATGTTACATTACATTTGCTATATTATTTCTTTCTTAATAATTATTATTTATCGATAATAAAAAGGCATAAATATAAAAAGGTAATGATTTAAAAAAAGAGTGAACAAACTTTACATAAGATTTGTTATATATAAAAAGGTAATGATTTTTTGTTATTAAATTTATTATAATAAAGTTTTGGTGATTTGTAATTTTGGTGACTTGTCTTGATTTTTAGTGATTTTGTTTTGATTTTATTTAGTGATTAAATCATATATATATAATTTAAAAAATCTTTAATTTAAGAATTCAAAAATTAATTATTAAATATAATATAAATATTTTTCATTTAAATAAGGTAATGAAATAATTTTATTATAATAAATTTTTGTTATTAAATTGGAGTTGGTGTGAAGAATTAAAAAAAGAGCGATCAAAGTTTATATAATTTTTTTATAAATAAAAATGTAATGATTTGTTGTTATTAAATTTATTATATTAAAATTTTGGTATTGAATTGGGGTTGGTGTGAATGATTTTTTGTTATCAAATTTATTATAATAAAGTTGTGGTATTGAATTAGAATCGGTGTGAAGAATAAAAAAAAGAGTGATAAAAATTTAAAATTTTAATATGATGCTACATAAGTATTAATGTTAGGGTTGTGTCTACAATTGTCATGATAACTTTAGATTTAAATTAAATAGATAGATAGCTTAAAATACGATTAGTTAGATATGTAAAAATGATATAAATTAGGCTTAAAAAAATTAATGCAATGTCACTAATATAAAATATAATAAATTGGAATCGATTTGAGAAAATTGAATAAATTGTTTGAAGATGATATGACTTAATAGGTTCAACGACTTAATAGGTTCAACAAAATATTTAAAGAAGTTTTACCCGGTTGGAGAAGCTTTTAATTCCTATTACTTTCTATTTGGCTGATGGTTTGATGCAAGTGCAATTTGTTTTACATTTAGATTGAATATCAAATATCAGTTCAACTCAATTTTTTTTTTTAATTAAACAAAATTATAAATTATAAATTATAAATTATAAATATTAAATTTTTAGTTAAATGGATCAATTTTATAAAATTTACATATTAAAATATATTTTGATAAATTTATTTTAAAAAAATTTAATTGATATATACTAACTATATAATAATATTTTTATATATTAATTACAATCGATAGATTTATGTAACTGTTTGTTTTTTTTTACTTTAATTGCATCTAAAATATCACATATGAATGTTTGTGTTACATCAATTGTGTAAACAAATTTATATTGATTATGCATAGAAAATTTATCTCGATTTTAAGTTAGATGATTACTTTTATATTTTTTACTAATACTATATTTTAAAATATCACATTGAGATGTTAACAGCAGACTGTGTAATATCAAGCTTCTCAAATGATTCTCAAAGCATTTTGTTTTGACGAAGATAAATTATATTAGCAAGAAGGTAAAAATGTTGATCAAGCTAAAAGCATCAATGGATAAAAGTCTTTGGTTCAAGCTCTTGGAAAATTTCATAAGGTATAATGACAATACTTACTTTGAACTTAAGTCTTAGATGCTCAATGATCAAAAGAAGTGTTCTTATCTTGTCCAAACTTTTTCTCAAAATTTCTAAGCAAAAATTCAATTTTCACTTAGGTGCAATCGATTTGCATGTTGGTGCAATTGATTGCATGCTTCACATTTTCAAATTGTTAGCTACTGTTTTTAAGTGCAATCGATTTGCATGTTTGTGCAATCGATTGCTCTCTATCAAATTTTGCTACTGTTTTAAAATGCAATCGATTTACACACATGTGCAATCGATTGCTCACTGAAAATATTTGAATTTTGTAGCTGGTAAAACTCGTGCAATCGTTTTACACAAGGGTGCAATCGATTGCATGCTGAACGTTTTTCAAAATCAGCAGCTTTGAACATACCTTTTCATAACACCATTTCATGGAAACTTTTCATTGAATCTTGGAAATTGTTCATGATTCATTTACAAAAATTTATGTTGTTTCAAAGAGGTGTTATGAACATATAAGTACTGAAATTTCAAAATAAAAAAAAAATATAGAAAACCTCTTCCAATCAATAGTTTCTGAATTTTAAAATATTAAAACTCAAGCTTTCTCTTCACTTTCATACACAAAGTTTTTCTGCACATTTTCATATACTGTTAAACAGAAAACTTTGAGCATTCCATAGTCTTAAGTCATTGTATATTATTGTTATTGGATGAGAAGATCAAGTCATTGATAAAATCACTCAAAGTGATTATTGCATTACAAACTCTATCAATCAAATATTACTATATACTTGCTTATTTTTCAGGATTATTGAAAATAAGTTCAAGTGGTTTTGTAATCTTGTTTTTCCAGGATTGTTGGATACAAGTAAAGTCACTTTGAGAGGATTGTTCTCATTGTTGACATAGTAAAAATCCAAGAGGATTGTTCTTGGTCTAAGAGGATTATTCTTGGTGGTTTTATTGGTTAGAGTCTTGTATAGAAGAACTAGGGTATCTTGTCTAGAGATCTAAAATAAGAAAATCTCTTTCATGTTGAAAGGGGACTGGAGTACTCTCAGACTGTAAGGGGACCCAGGATACATCTTTGTGTTCTTTATTTTTCCGCATTTACCGCTTTCATCACTAGTCATAAACTAGAAAAGAAAGAAACACATTTGTAAACTCACGCACTAAACCAGAAAAATAATATTCATCATCACTAAAACAGTAAAACTTTTAAAGTACCTAATTCACCCCCTTCCTCTTAGGCGCCCTCTTATACTTACAATTGGTATCAGAGTAGGTTATAGATAACATGTTCCTAAAAGATTTAGAATGGCTTCCGCAAATCAAAATCCCGTTTTCAGAGATGGTGGTAGTAACAACAAGTCTCCTCTATTTTGTGGTGAATATTTTGATTTCTGGAAAATACGCATAAAGGCACATCTAGAAGCACAAGGAGAAGAAATATGGGATGGGGTCGAGAATTATCCATTTATTACTTTAACCGTGATCAATGGTGCTGGCTCATCAAAGCCTAAAACTGCATGGGATGAAGATGATAAGAAAAAGGTCTTCTATGATAAAAAGGCAATCAATCTTCTTCAAGGTGCACTTAGCATGGATGAATTCTTTCGTGTCTAGACATACAAAACAGTGAAATAAATATGGGATACCTTGGTAGAAACTCATGAAGGATCCACTGAAGTTAAAAGATCAAGATTAAATACATTGAGTCAAGAATACGAACTATTCAGAATGCAGCCCCGAGAATCAATCCTCGACTAGTAGAAAAGATTTGTGCACTTGACAAATCATTTGAAAGCACTCGGTAATACTTTAACTAATGATGAACTTAATATTAAAGTGCTTAGATATTTATCCATGGAATGAAAACCAAAAGTGATAGCAATATCTGAGAAGAAGAAACTATCCAAAATGACTTATGCCACTTTGTTCGGAAAACTTCAAGAATATGAGACGAAACTTGCAAGACTTGAAAAGAATGAAATCCAAGTAAAATATTCAAAATACATTGCTTTAAATATAAGGATAAAAAATCATGATAGCAATCAAGAGTATGAATCCACTAGTAGTGAAGATGATGATCTCATCAGAAAGATTGAAAAGGTTCTACGAAAAGAAATAAAAAGGGAAGCACCAACAAGGAAGGTTATATGCTTTGAATGTGGAGAAAAGGAACATGTTAAAATTGAATGTCCTACACTTGAAAAGAAGAATAAATATTTCAATATAAATAAATATAAGAAGTCAAAGAAAGCATATATAACATGGGAAAGTTCATCTTCTGATTCTGAAAATAATCAACATGTTAATCCTGCATTGATGGCCTCACACCATTTCGATAGTGAAGATGACGAGGTTAGTAATGAATATTATCTTTATGATAATGATGTACAAGGTGCAATAGATGAACTATTAAATGAATGCAAAATTTTGTACAAAAATATTTCATCTCAAAAGAAACAAATTTCATCTTTAGAAGAAAAATATGAGTCTATGGAAAAAGATATCAAAGATGAAAAACAAAAATTTAGTGAGCAAAAGCAGAATTTTATATGCAAAAATTGTGAATCACTCTCTTTTCAAATTGTCCAATTAAAAAGAGTTATTGAAAGATATGAAAAAGGTCAAATTGGATTAGAAGGTGTTCTTAGCCTACAAAGATATTTCAATGATAAAAGTGGACTTGGATATTCAAAGTTTTCAAAACCAAATTCTAATAAAACTATTTTTGTTAAGGCTAGTAATCAATCTTCCAAAGAGAAAGTGAACAAATCTAAAGTAGTTCATCAATATCCTAAAAATAAAAGATTTGTTAAGAATAAATCTTATCCTCCTAGATATAGAAGTAACTTTGAACCTACTTATTTTTATTATGGTATTGTTGGCCATACACCTAATGCTTGCTATGTTAGAAACTTTAGTGTAACAAGTGGGAATTATGTATGGGTTAAGAAAGGAAATAACTATGATGGACCTAAAGAAGATTGGGCACCAAATCAAACTTAATATGTTTTGTAGGTTTTCTTAAGGACCACTTTAAATCTATGATGTTTTCATAACTGATGGCTCTAAGCATTTGATGGAAGATATACACTCACTTTCAAATCTAGTTCAAGTCCACCGATTATTTCACATATGGGAAATACCTTAAAGGAAGAACTCTTGGCATTGAAAAAGTTAATATACTAACTTTCATATCCATTGAAGATGTACTTTATATTGAAGAACAAAATACAACTTTTAAGTAAAAGACAACTTTGTTGAAAGGCTTCAAATTCATCAAGGATGAATGGTTTATGAAGTCACTCTTGAGGCAAAAATCATAGGTAAAAAGTGTTTTTATGTTTATAATTTCATTATATATTTTAAGTCTTTCCACATTTCTTTTTGATATTGTCAAAGGGGAAGAAGGATGTTAAACTTTATGCTTGTGTATTTCCTTGTCTTAAACTTTTAAGGTACAAAGAATACTTCAAGATGAGCAAATCCAAATGATTTCAAAGCTTCTCATATAAAGGGGGAGTTATACATCTTAGGGGGAGAAGTCTCTTTCCGGAAATAACAAATATTCAAGAAAGATTGTTTGTCATCATCAAAAAGGGGGAGAATGTAATATCAAGCTTCTCAAATGATTCTCAATATATTTTGTTTTGATAAAGACAAACTATATTGGAAAGAAGGCAAAGATGTTGATCAAGCTAAAAGAATCAATAGATAAAAGTCTTTGGTTCAAGCTCTTGGCAAATTTCATAAGGTATAATGACAATACTTACTTTGAACTTAAGTATTAAATGCTCAATGATCAAAAGAATTGTTCTTATCTTGTCCAAACTTTTTTTCAAGTTTTATAAGAAAAAATTTAATTTTCACTTGGGTACAATCGATTTGCATGTTGGTGCAAACGATTGCATGCTTCATGTTTTCAAAATGTTAGCTAATGTTTCTAAGTACAATCGATTTGCATGTTTGTGCAATCGATTACTCTTTATCAAACTTTTCTACTGTATTAAAGTGCAATCGATTGCTCACTGAAAATATTTGAATTTTTTAGCTGTTAAAACTCGTGCAATCAATTTACACAAGGGTGCAATCGATTGCATGCTGAACGTTTTTTAAAATCAGCAGCTTTGAACATACTTTTTCATAACACCATTTCATGGAAAATTTTCATTGAATCTTGGCAATTATTCATGATTCATTTGCAGAAATTTATGCTGTTTCAAAGAGGTGCTATGAACATATAAATACTGAAATTTCAAAATAAAAAAAAATAGAAAACCTCTTCCAATATATAGTTTCTGAATTTTAAAATATCAAAACTCAAGCTATCTCTTCACTTTCATACAGAAAGGTTTTCTGCACATTTTCATATATTGTTAAACAGAAAAACTTTGAGCATTCTATAGTCTTGAGCCATTGTATATTATTGTTATTGGAAGAGAAGATCAAGTCATTGATAAAATCACTCAAAGTGATTATTGTACTACAAACTCTATCAATTAAATATTGCTATATACTTGCTTATTTTTCAGGATTGTTGAAAATAAGTTCAAGAGGTTTTGTAATCTTGTTTTTCCAGGATTGTTGGATATAAGTAAAGTCACTTTGAGAGCATTGTTTTCATTGTTGACATAGTGAAAATCCAAGAGGATTGTTCTTTGTGGTTTTATTTGTTTGAGTCTTGTATAGAAGGACTAGGGTGTCTTGTCTAGAGATCTAAAATAAGGAAATCTCTTTCATGTTGAAAGAGGACTGGAGTACTCTCGGACTGTGAGGGGAACCAGGATACATCTTTGTGTTCTTTACTTTTATGCATTTACCGCTTTCATCACTAGTCATAAACCAGAAAAGAAAGAAACACATTTGTAAACTCATGCAATAAACTAGAAAAATAATATCCATCATCACTAAAACAGTAAAACTTTTAAAGTACCTAATTCATCCCCCTCTTAGGCACACCTTTATACTTACAATTAGTATCAGAACAGGTTATAGGTAACCTGTTCGTAAAAGATCCAGAATGGCTTTCGCAAATCAAAATCCCGTTTTCAGAGATGGTGGTAGTAACAACAAGTCTCCTCTATTTTGTGGTGAATATTTTGACTTCTGGAAAATACGCATGAAGGCACATCTAGAAGCAGAAGGAGAAGAAATATGGGGACTGGAGTATTCTCGGACTGTGAGGGGAACCAAGATACATCTTTGTGTTCTTTACTTTTCCGCATTTACCGCTTTCATTACTAATCATAAACCAGAAAAGAAAGAAACACATTTGTAAACTCATGCACTAAACCAGAAAAATAATATCCATCATCACTAAAATAGTAAAACTTTTAAAGTACTTAATTCAACCCCCCTCTTAGGCGCACTCTTATACTTACAGACTGACCCCAAACAATTTTTTATGTGGATAAACAAGATCTAAATATATTTGTGTTTTGTTCTAAATTAGAAATGATCGATGAAATAATGAGATAATTTCTTATTATGGTAGGTATATGTCTCTGGTGCGACGGAGAAGGGGCTCACCTACAAAGTTAGCATTTAAACGTCTAAGTTAGTGAGAGAATTAAGAATAATATGAAGGTGAGAATAAATTTGAATCATACATTTGTCTTCACGTGGGGTACCTTATATAAGATATTTGGTTGAGATGTATTGAAAAAATCTCAAATCCCACATTGGTTGGAGATAGGTCCTTTGAAAGAGTTTATATAGAGTAATATTCGTCATCTTAAAATCAAATTTAGTAAGGACGCGTTAGACCAAACTCTAGTATGGTATCAGAGCCTATCGATCTCATAATAGACCGTCTACCGTTTATATTCACGCACCAAATCTAACAGAGTGTTGGGCGTGAGAGGGTATTAGAAAAATCCCAAATCCCACACTGATTAGAGATAGATCCTTGAAAGAATTTATATAGAGTGACAACCATCACTTTAAAAACTGATTCTAATAAGATGTTCAAGGCCTAGATCAGATATGAGACTTTTTTTATTAGGCCTTTTGGCCAATGCATGACATTTCGTTAAATCTAGATAATTTAGTAAGTATATAATTACACTTAAATGCAATGGAAACAGGCAACAAGTTGCATCGCTATCTTTTTTTTTATGTTGATACACCAATCCTCTAAAAAATTAAGTTTGTCGTCTTAGAAGACACAACATTACTATGTATAAGCTTTTAAGCTCTATGTAAAAGATTCACTTCTTCTGGTGCTAAAAAGCTAAAAATATCTAATGTTAATAACATGAAAGCATGTTGATTGTCCGAACACATTTTTTTTCATAATTGACCACTTTACTTGAGATAGCTTTACCCCGATAAATTTTACACATGCATATTTTTCTCCTATCCACTCATTCACTAAAACATTAAAGAATAACTAAAATAAAATATATCGATTAAAAAATCAAGTCTTCCTAAAATAAAACTAAGTACAAATTAATTAAGTATGAATAGATATAATATAGATTTAACAAGATGATATTTAATCTTTTTAATCAAACCAATTTGATGACTGATGAGCCAAATAGCAATAAATACTTCAAATAGTTTGTCCCTTATCAACGCTTCATTATTCTTGGCACTTGGCCCATTGAGACACAAGACTTCTCACCATATAACTAGCTGGCGGAAATGCACCCCTAAATGTTATTGTTGTAAATAGTTTAAATGACGACAACTTTGCACTCAAGGATTCCCTCCAACACCATCAATTTGTTCTGCTGAGTTGTGTGAATTGGAATTCCTATGTGGCCAAACAGTATAACATAACACATCTCAAACTCACATTCCAACCATAAATCCACACTTCTCTCGTGCTTTTCTTGTTCTAGTAACAAGTCTCACACTTCCCCTTTTCCTTTATATATAACAGCATATATTATCGAGTCTCATGACAAATCAACAATCACACATTAATCAAAATCTTATATTAACTTAGTACAGTAGATTTTGCTCTTCTTGTTTGCTGTCTTATACTTGTAAAAAAATGGCATTCATTTCCAGAGATGTTGCTCCATGGTGCAAGAAGCTTATTGAAAATGGACATGGTGATGTTTGTTATGGCTATCCTCCTGTAGTTTGTGACGAAGGAGACGATGACGACGATGGTGGTTATGATTATGCTCCAGCAGCATAAACTCTTCATTTGTCTCATTGATTTTTGTGCTACTTCAACTAGCTAGTATTACTTACTACTAAACTAATTATAGTGCGACTCTTCTTTTTGGTTATTAGTGCTAAATGAAAAGAAAATAGAATATCTACTCTAATCTAACCTATTACTCATCAGGTGATCCTTTTATGGATGATGTAGCATTGTAACCTTAATTAATTATATGTTTGAGCAGCTTTTGTTATGAATGACAGACTATTATAAAAATGAGTGTGTAATCGAACAAATTTTATTATATAGTATACCGTGTATATAAACTTCACACAGACACACATATATATATATATATATATATATATATATATATATATATATATATATATATATATATATATATATATATATATATACACTCCAATGATGATATTGAATAACTAAATGAGAATTGAAGAATGGTTATACATATTATAAGGTGTACTAGTATTACATATGAGCTTGGTATTTTCACTTGGTCATCATAACCTAAACAAATTCATCATATTTAACTTGACCATCGCCATCAACATCATCCTCTCAGAATCATTTCATCAATTATTTCATCAGTTAGATTCACACCAAGTCTGATCATTTCACAACTAAATTTAGCAGAAAAAAGAAAAACAATTTAGGTATTTTTATTTAATAAGTAAATTTTTTTAAGTTTAGGGTTGTGATGATACTATTTTATATTAGATTTTTTTATTAGTTTTTTATTATTTTTACAATTTTTATTTTTATTTTTTAATAAGCAAAGATCCTTTAAAAGGGAGTATAAGGGATACTCCGTCCAATAAAACAATACGGAAAGCCCCTACTTCCTAAAATAAAGGAGAGATAGAGTATTCCAATCTCCCTCTGCGATAATATAAATGGATTACTCCATCCACAACCTAAGAACTACAGCCGACATACAATTATCAAAATTGAAAATCGATCCTTTAAAAATTTTGGCATTTCGCGTCAACCATACACTGTAACCTGTGGCAAACCAAATCACAGCTACTGTTGTCCTAATAAACTTGCACTTCACCTTCTCACAGTGAAGAAAATAATTCACCAAATGCGATAAAGACAGCCCAGTTTGCTATCAATTGTAGCGGTAGAAATGTTGAGACTAAGCCATTGGGTTGACTTGACTCGCACAGATCAAATAAAAATCGCCATCACGCTTTATTATTTCCAAAGGAATGGGAAAAGAGAGAATAACCCAAAGAGAGCGGGAGAAAATCTAAGTTCGGGAGTTGGTTATGCAAAGGGAAGGTATTAACACCCTAAACATCTACGGTACTCCGCAAGAACCTCTTTGAAAATTTGTTTATTTTGGCTATAAGTGTTGTATGCAAAAATATATGGTGGATATGAGAAAAGAAATATTTTTTTATAATTTTTTTTTTACATTTGTCGCAGTTACGAACCTTTAGTGCCTACGTACCACCTTCTGTGCAATAGGGGATCAGGGTACTCGATGTTGACCTTTAAAAAATTTAAAACACATGTGTGTTGGTTAATTTTAAGAGACGAGACATCATCGTCTTATCCGAATGGAAGAACATATTTACTACCCACGATTATGAAAAAAGAGAATTTGTGTCATCTCAAAGTGGAGGATATGGCTTGGACTTTGAAATCAAGAAAACCTCGTTCAACACCCAAGTGAAAAATGTCTCACTTCACTATATATTGTAGAAGTATAGTAGCTCGCATCACTACAAAGATTAACAAGAGTCTAATCTTTTGAGAAAATGTTTTAAAGTAAAAAACCAAAGTAGCAAAATAGTTTGAATGAGATTGATTGACTTTTAGTCTTCTCACAAAAAATGTCAAAGTATTGTTAAGTTGGTTAAAGTTTGATTAAGAAAATATTTTGAAAATGCATGGACCAAAGTCAACGTTTATTATGAAAGCGGTTCAAGTTAGAAAAATAGAAGAGCTTTCAAAAGGAGGCTGAAGATTTTTGAAATTAAAGAAAGACGGGAGGAGATGAAGGGACTATCCTAAAGCATAAGGTAAAATCTAGGGAAAAGAACCGCCTAACCAAGAAGAAGTCAACACTTGACACAATGAGTCAATGTAGAATTCGCAGCCTTTAGATTGATACCAAGCAAGCAAAGATATAAACCTCTTGAGATTACCAAACTTCGAATGCATTAAGTCTTCACAAAAATTGGGCAGAGTAACGGCTGTATACAAATGAATTCCCAATCACAGACAAGCCATATAATCAGAATAACCTGCACACAAAGAAAACAAACATCCCAATGTCTTGGGGGTAAATCCCAAGAACTCCAGACAAAGTAATAGTAGAAGTCACAAAGTCTCGAGGTAGGTCAAGGTCTTTACTCCTAAGTCCAAAAAGTCCATACTCCAAAATGCCAAGGATAGTAACCAAATAGTCCAAGTAGCTTTAAAGTTTTTTATTGTTCAAGTTGGTTATTAGGTATCTTTAAAAAGAAAATGAAAAGCTTAAGTGAGAAAAATAAAAAATGACATAAAGATAAATATTCAAGTGAGCAAATATGAAAGTAGCATGAAATGTAAATGTTAAAATAAATGATGCGTAAAAGTAAAAGCGTAAGGTAAAAGCATAAAAATAATAGTCAATAATTAATGAGTTAGAAATTAGAGATTAGTTGAATGACCATCTTTAAACTTTCATTTGAAAACTCATTAGAAGATTGATAAAATCAAAGCCTCTCAACAACAAGTTTCATTTGCTTTTTGTCAAGTATATCATTCATTTCAAATTCTCGAGGCGACAATAAATGATCAACGATGTTTAAATGATTCACTTAATCCAAAATTTATGAAGATTCATTAGAGGATTGATAAGACCAAAGTCTCCTAACAATGAACCTCAAGGTTATTGGATCAAAGATTTCAAATTAAACATACTTGGGCTTGCAAACATAGGTTTGAGCCACAAATGACCATTTCTCAAATTGGGACAAAATTTAGCGCTAAGTTAAGCAATTGTAAGTGGACTTATGTAAGTGGACCAAAGTCACACCTATTTTAAGGCCGGTGAATAGAAATCTATGTGCCATATGTTTGGAGAGATGATATGTAAATCATTCTCTAACAACATGTAACACAAATGAGAAATAGATAAAATGAAGAGGGAGAGAATGCAATGTATGAAATTAGGGTTTCAAATATCATCAACATTATTCATCCATTTTAGTGGATTTGGTTTCTCAACCTATCAACACCCAAGATCCAATGAGGTTGAAGAATTTGTCACCAAATGAAGTCCAAGTCAGAACTAAAATAAAAAATAATATTTAAATAAAACAATGTTTAAATGATTAATAAAAGGAAAATGAATGGTAAAATACACAAAGCATATTAAAACACCAAATAAAAATCCTAAAAAAAATAATCAGAGGTCAAACATGATTTAATAAAGGTTGAAAATTTTTTGTTGAATTTTTTGAGGTCAGAGGCCATTGCATCCTTCCGTAAATATTTTTAAAATTTAAAAATTAATAAAAATATTTTTAATCAATAAAAACAAATTAATTAAAGTGAAAAATTATAAAAAATATCAAATCATAAAATAAAATTTTGAAAAATAAAAAATAGAAAGAGAAAAATCCAAAATATTTTTAAGAAAATTTTCAGATTTTTTTATGAATTTTTGAAGTTTAAAACAATTAAAACAAAAATTAGAAAATAAAATAACAAACCAAAAAAATATGGACCATCTGATCATTGTCAAAACGCGTTAGTAAACAGATCCAGTGGATCTGGCACGTTGTACATGTCATGGACTTTTTTGGATATCACACTTAATCATTTTTTTATTAAATAAAAATAACTTAAAATATGGAGTTTTGGATGGAGTATGACTCACTAAAGTAATCAGATCCAAGGGCTCCTGAGACACACGCATAGTAAAGCAAACACACTATATCTATTTCAAAAAAAAGCGTGGCACACCATCATTGGTTGAAGACGAGACATGTCATCATCTTCAACCTCCAGCCACCCTAAAATGGAATTCCACAAACTGTAAAATTAGCAAACTAGACCGGTACCATTAGATTCTTCTCTTCAAGACGATTCTAATGGTACCATCGCGCCAAATTTATATAAACTAAGCAAGGCTTGAATTGAGAAAATGTAGAAATAATAGCGAGCACGAAATTCTGGAATATCTCACTCAAATCTCAATGAAATCACAAATTGTAAAAAGCATGAGAATCAGAAGGATGAAGAGAGTAGATTAGTCTTTTATTTGGATCGATTTGACCAAGAAATCTACCTGAACGAAGTAGCAAAAAGTGGCTCCGAAACAGGACTTCTGTAGAACAATATAGGTCACAATTATTAAAGGTAAGAGTATGATTAACTTCATAGAAGTTTGTGATACGGTGGCAGAACCGACTGTTTTTACTGGATTGCGTTTTGTATTCGCAAATGTGGGGTAAGCAAGAGTCTCCACCGACTTTTATTTCATCCAACAAAGGAAAAGGAAAAAGAACAGAAAAAACCTTTTTTCGAGTTTTTTGAGTACGGGGGGTAGATTATAGAAAGGGAAGGTGTTAGCACCCTTTCTATCCGTAGTTTTCTACGGGCTCTTAGGTACTTGCTCATCTTTTTAAATTACTTGTGTGTGTGCTTGTTTTGAAAAAGTTTTACTTCGTGATAACCCTTGTATCAGTCCTCAAGAGTGTGATGAAGTTGTTTTTGAAAATTGTTTTAAAAGATATTCGTGGGAAAAGTTTTATTTGAGCAAGTACTTAAGATTTCTACCTACTCGAAAAAAGGATTGTTCATTCTCGTTTCCTTTAGACAATGCTATCCTACTATTAAGGAGTAGGTAGCCCCGTTGTTGGAGTTTGTAAGGGACATTCGAAAGGGACAAGTACAGTCACCAGAGAAATGGGTAGGAAACTTTAGTAGTAACCCTAGAATCTTAAGATCTTTCCGAGGCAACCTTTACGAGGAAACATTTCTGAGGCAACATTCAAATGGGACATTTG